CTGCCTCCACCTCCCAAGTAGCTGGGACCACAGGCGCCTGCCACAACGCCCAGCTATTTTTTGGTTGCAGCCGTCATTGTTGTTTGGCGGGTCGGGGCTGGATTCGAACCTGCCACCTTAGGTGTATGTGGCTGGCACCTTAGCCACTTGAGCCACAGGCGCCAAGCCCTGGAGTCCTCTTTGACTTTGCCCTCACCTCCTTTACTTGGTCGGTCACCCAAGTCAGACTTTTTTAACTGACCCATAATTACAAATGCATTTTGCTTTATGACCCAGAATGCACACATGTATCTGATACCAAAGTTTTCTATAATTTGTCCTTACAACATCATATAATCTCTGATATTTTCTATTCCATTTGAATTCTTTTAAATAGAAATTCAAGATGTTACTTACTAAATTGATTTCATGGGTTACAACCAACAGTGGTGCCCGGAGATGGTTTTTAGCCTTCTTTATTCCATTGGCTTTCTCAATACAAATTGGATCAGGGCACACATGCATGCACACTTATATGCACATGTTCTTTTTTACTAAATAGTCTTTATTATTCTCAGATTGAATACAAGTTTGGGAATGTGGCATTCATATCCCACCATATATAACCTATGCTGCCTTTACTAGTATCATCTTTTGCCATTCTAGACACTGTTTCCACCACTATTTCCTCCTCTGCAAGAAAAAGCTAAACTATGTGGTAGAAATATTGCCTTCTATACAAAATTTTTTTCTGCCCGGAAGGCTTTATCCCCTTCCTCTATATTGACAAGCTTCTATTTTTCCTTCAATATCCAATTCATATGTTGTTTCTTCTTTGAACCCTTCCCTTCCCTCTGAGGGCAGAATTAGTTCCTCTTCTGTGTTCCTTTAATTTTTTTTTTTTTGAGACGAGTAGAGTGTCGTAGTGTCATAGCTCATAGTGACCTCAAACTCTTGTGCTTGAGCAATCCTCTTGTCTCTGCCTTTCCAGTAGGTGGAACTATAAGTGTGTGCCACCACGTCCAGCTAGTTTTTCTATTTTTAGTTAGAAGGGGTCTTGCTCTTGCTCAGGCTGCTCTAGAACTCTGAGCAATCCACCTGCCTTGGCCTCCCAGAGTGCTAGAATTTACAGGCGTGAGCTACTGTGCCTGCCTGAGACTCCCCTTATAAAGTTGTCATGGAGCAGTAGTACCTTCTTGTTGTAAAAATCAATTTTTTGTTGTTGTTGTTGAGACAGAGTCTCACTATGCTGCCCTTGGTAGTAGAGTGCTATGGCATCACAGCTCACAGCAACCTCAAACTCTTGGGCTTAAGAGATCGTCTTGCCTCAGCCTCCCAAGTAATTGGGACTACAGGCACAATGCTGGCTATTTTTTGGTTGCTGTTGTCATTGTTGTTTGGCAGGCCCAGGCTGGATCTGAACCCGCCAGCGCCGAGCCTGTATTATTGTTTATTTACTTGCATATGTTATACTTTCTCACGACAACCTTATTCTCATATACGAGAGTAAGTTAGAGAACTTACCCACAGAACACCTAGTATGTGGTGGAAGGGAAATTGCCTGGTCTGGTTAACTCAAAGTATTAAGTTGTTTTCTTCATTAGTAATTATAACTACCAAAGTAACTAATTACTTATTAATGATACTATGTAATATTAATATTATTTATGACTTAGTATCTGCTTATCACAAAGATAAGCATTTAAAATTATGGCCTTTATTCCCTCATTGAAGCTACTGTAAGCTACCATATTAAGTTGCTTTCATTATTAATTATAATTACCAAAGTAACTAATAACTTATTAATGATACTATTTAATATTAATACTATTTATGACTTAAGTATCCACTTAAACA